AAAGGCTTATTTCTAATTAACTTAAACATTTTGAAGTAAATTATAAAGCTTTAACTCTGATATATGTTCTTCTAATTACATTATTTGACATATCTGCAGATAAACTCAAACTCTAGACTAGAAACAACCTAAAAACATATATAAAACAATCAATCATATGCAAACAAACCAAGATGAAAGAATATCTACCTACAACTGTGGTTAGCTTCAAGAGCATCTTAATTGAGAATTAAAATAATGAAGGTTGAAATGACTTGATTGCTTCACTATCGATATAGATTAAATCTGTGAAGCAATATGTCGTACACAAAGAAAGACATTGTCATCTTCACAACACTTAATCAAAGAATCAATCAACTACACCCAAAGACCGATCATACCTATAAAGTGAAAGAAGGGGGAGGCAGAAGCGACTGGAGGAGGAGGCTTCCTCGGTGTCGTCGACTAGAGACCGGAGGCGGAGGTGTCGTCGGCTGGATCAATGACGTTGTGACTTTGTGTAGTTGATGTTCGTCTAGTGATATAGTGATAAGTGACCTTAGAAGAAAAAGTGAACATAGTCAAAATAAGAACATTCGATTCAGTTTTGACTTTATGGTCAAATGAACATTCGATTTAAAGTAGTGAGGCTGTTGGTGGGTGGTGACCTAGAATAGTGAGGAAAGAGAGAGTATGTTTGTGATATAATTTGCCATAAGAATCATTTTGCAAAATATTTACACAAATACAAAATACAATTACCTATTAATGGGCTCAAGCTATATAAATATTGGGCTAACTATATATACACATAATGAGCTAACAATATATACACTAATAATTGAATTATCCACCGCTTTCTTTTTCCAATTCCTCCCAATTAGCTCAAAAAGAACTTATTTTCTATGTTTTTTCTCTCTCTCTCTCTCTAAACATACAAATACAAGTACATATGAAAACAAAGATACTTTTTTTTAACTCTAATAAACAAAAATATTCATGCTGAATGAAAAAATTAAATTGGTACAAACAAATAATTATGGCCAATTATTATGATGATTGTGAATCAGTTATTCAATATACCATATGGTAGCTTCATAAATATAATAGTTGTTTACATCCTCCTGTATTTTCAAAGTTTCTTAAAAGATTTTGGCTTAATCTCTTTATTTTGCAAGCATATATATAAATTTGTTGACTAAAAATATTCAATAACCGTAACTACGCATGATAAAAAATTTATGTTGTTTATATTTGTCTATATTTCCGGTTTAATGTGTATAATAGTAACTATCATCCATGGACATCATAGCATCACCGAGCTGTGATTAGAAGGATTAAGAGGGACAATTTGGGAATTTTACTTTTTCTATATAAACTTTTTTTTTTTGTTTTGAACATTCATCTAAATGATTATTTAGTTGTCTAGAATCTGTTTTCTCTTTTTTTTCGGCAACTTTAACATTTAGTTTGTCTAATCTTAAGATTCTCTCCATCAAGATGGGCAATTCGGGAATTTTACATTTTCTCTCTTTGATTTTCATTTGAATTTTTATCATTGGGTATCCCTATTCTCTCCATCTTATTGTTATTTTTGTTACTTATAAAATTCCAGCATTTTCACAGCTTTATTTTCTCTCGAGCATATTGATTTGCACTATTACATTAATTTTGACCCTTTAAAGTGAAAACTAAATTTTCTAAAGCAAGCTAACCACCCGCCATACATAACCACACATACACAGCTAGAGACATAAGTATACATGCCATCATTAAACTATCAACAATCTCAATTAACAAGAAAAATTAAACAAGGGCACTTTGTAAATGACCATTTTACCCTTCTCATCATATTCAAAGTAAAGTAGGTTATATAAAAACCGTTATCACCATACAAAAACTCCAAAATGGTCTCCTTATCCTCCGTGAAACTATTGTAGTCCCTTTGTATTTCTGTGCGTGTTCATCTGTAGCAAAAACAGAAATCAAAGCTCTTCTCTTTTAAATTTGAACGGCAGGTGTGGTTAATTTGTATGATGATGGTTGTCCGGCTGTGCGATTTTCATGGTGGTTGTAATGTATAATTAATGGTGGTGCGAGGCTCTGATAGATAGTGGGTGATGATGATTTTGCGACAAGGGATATGGTAATCGTGTTAGGATGAAGAGGATGATGGAGTGATTGTGGGTGTTTTATATGGTGTTGTTTGGTAGTTGGGAGGTGGAAGCTGAGTATTCGAAAATTAATTTGTACTTGATTCAAAATGAGGCGTAGTTGATTCAAAATAGGCATATTTGATTTGGATAATTGATTTAATTTCTAGTACGCATAATTAACCGTATTAGATGTAGTATTTGTCTGTAGTAGATTAATTTAGCCTTTTATATATAATACGCATTTTCTTTACAACCGTATTAGATAGGGGTGTATTATATTATCTACTAGGTTATAACCCGTGGAATCCACGGGTGACAAAGTAAATAATATATACATTATAAAAATAGTAAAATCTTATATATGTAAACTTTTATTTTAGTACAAATTTTGATGTGTTATTATCATTATTTTAAATTAATATAAGATCATATTGTAGAATAAAATAGAGAATTAATAAACTGGAAAAATAACAAAGACAAACGATCATGAAAATAAATATTAATATTAAAATAATGTATATTAATTTCTTCATAGGTTCAATACAAGAAATAATAATATATTTTCATATATAGTGAATTATAGCATCACACTTACATTGCGTTTAATAGTTATTGATTTACCCATTGTAAGAATCTTTCTTGACAATAATCTTTATTTACCCACTTCCTCCAAATGACCATTTGACCTTTCTCACTTTGCTGTAGCAAAGTTATAAAAAAATATAAAATATAAAAATAAATAAATAAATAACAAACAAACAAATTTGGGTGAATGGCAGCTTTGTCATGGATTTTAACTTTATCATATTACATCCAATCAACCTTTGTTAATTACCAAATTTCTTGTGTAGCAATTATAAAAATTAAATTAATCCAAGCTGAAATTCCATTGACCAATTTTGTTTGAAGTATTATAAAAAATACCAACATTAAACATAGCTAAAATATAATTTTCCTTCATGTAATAAAAGGTTAGGTAATCGTCAACTATAAGGAAATCATTATAATTTCACATTCAAGTTTCTGACTTTCCTTTTATTTCCGGTGTACATCTATGTAGGGTGTGTTTGACAAGGAGCTTTTGCAAGCATTTGGGAGCTTCTAGCTTTTATCTTTTGAAAAAACGTTCTAGTTTAAACAAAAAGTTTTATTTGGCAGTACGAACGTTTAGCTTTTAGTTTTAACAAAACGCTCCGATTCTAAGAGCTACTTCATGTAGCGTTTAACAAAATGCTACTGAGCTTTTAAATTTTTTTTCCATAATTACTCTTAAAAATATATTTATATATTATTTATTTTTAATCAATTGTCCTTTTATGTAATTTTAAATATTTTAAAAATTTCCAGCTACTTTTGCAAACATTCATATAACAAATAAAAGTTAAAACTTTCGGCTACCAGCTACCCGCTACACACTATCAGCTAACTGCTACACGCTATCAGCTAACCGCTACACGCTACCAGCTAAATGCTTACCGCTACCCGCTTCCAGCTAACAACTATTTCTGCCAAACACGCCCGTAATCATCTTTGCTCACTTGCTCTACATGATATTTGTTACATGAAACCTTATAACCATACAAACACACAATAGGATAAAAGCATAATATAATGTAATTTATCTTTTTTATAGTGGTATAAAAAGATCCTTTACATCTTAAATTTCTTGGACAATGTATCGATCTTGACAATATTAACGCCTAAAAATATCGATATTAAACCCTAATAATTTTCAAAACAATCTTGAAATGTGACACTAACCCCAGAAATTTTCATTGTTTGTAACCTCAATTCTATCCAACAACCTTCAAAAAACCTGAAAACAAAGAAATTAAAATGAAAATTAAAATGAGAATCAGAAGATGTTAGAGGTTGACTTGAGATCTAAAGATATGTACCTATAAAAATGTTGAAAAAAAACTATAAATTTTTTTTGATGATTAATATTCTAAATCATTTAAAAATGAATTTCATGAAAAAGAATATTATAAATTAAAAAGATCGATCTCATATTAAGTAATCACAATATTTGGCCTTGATCCATAAATTGTACTTGGAAAAAAATTTGATGATTAAATTTCAACGTCTAATATTTCTTAACTCAAGCAGTCAACCAAACTAAACAAACACAAACACTTATAAACAAATATTGGAGTCTTTTGGAACAAAATTATCAACACAACCTCAAGTGCTTCAATTACTACAAAGCATAGTTACCCATAAATGAAGTTGTATTTACTGTCATATATGTTTCCAACAAAACAACATAACATGCAATCAACAACAGTTCTGTGATTACATAAAATTGATCATATTCATCAACAAACAATGAATATGTGTTTAATGAAAAAATATTAAAACACGACATGACATTTTTTGTATATTGACTTTCGACAGAGCTTGAATGAAAGAAAGAAAATTCTTATTTAATTGATACCAAAGTTTAGAAAAGATGAAGGAAATTTAGTCATTTTTTGTTAGAAAAACTTTATGTGTTTTCATAATTATGAGATCTCACATATGCCAACAATTATAGGAACTAAGATAAGACATATAGGAGATGCATACACACAACAACACAACACAACACATACAGGCATCAACACATACACATATAGGTTTGATAAATATTTAAAAAATGAAAGCAAAGAATAAAACTTTAAAAAATGTGTATATGACTGTTTGTGAGTGCAAAACAGTGTTTGATAACAAAAAAAATTCTCATTGGCATTTTATCAAACACCTAGAGATCAATATGAAGGAAGAAAAAAGAAACATCATAACTGGCACATCTAAAATCGACAATATAAAGTAAACATAATCATCATGAAGAATTATTGTATTACTATCAAAAAACTATTTAATTCAGAGTATATTTATTCTTAAAACATGACAACTCGAAAGCTTAAAATAAAGAAGAGTACACACCGCTTGTAGATACACGTTATGGTTTAAAATTTCCAATTGCACAATGTGGAATCGCATAGTATAAATAGAGACTGAAAAACAAACCTGGAAACGATCAGCTCCATGATTTCGTGAGATTATGCTAATCACCTCCTAATTTCTAGGCTTTGTAGTTAGAAATATTACCTTGTTCCAAGCTGTATGATTGTGGTCTAATATGTGTCAAGTGAAAGGTATAATAGGAAAATTGGTAGAAAATATGAGTGGGAAAAAACGAAAGCAGAAAGTCTATACAGAAGGTACACGTCCTTTCCTTTTTTTAGGGATTCGAATGGATCGAGTGCAGGTAAATTAGGATAGTCAATTAATACAACCTGGAAACGATCAGCTCCATGATTTCGTGAGATTATGCTAATCACCTCCTAATTTCTAGGCTTTGTAGTTAGAAATAATATGTTTCAAGTGAAAGGTATAATAGGAAAATTGGTAGAAAATATGAGCGGGAAAAAACGAAAGCAGAAGGTCTACAGAAGGTACACGTCCTTTCCTTTTTTGTAGGGATTTGAATGGATCGAGTGCAGGTAAATTAGGATAGTCAATTAATACAACGGAAAGCTGATATTTAGGAAGTGAATGTGATTGAACGATTGAAAATCATTGGGCGGGAAAATGAGAGAGCAGAACGATGGTGGAAGGACATGTGGCATAAGACAGTGCTAAAAGGATGACACATGGCTGGTTTAGGAGTGTTTTATTAAGCATGGAGATGGAGATGGAGATTTTCCAGATACAAATTAATTTTATATACATCTATAAAAGATATAAACTTATGAATATTCTAATAAATAAAAATAAAAACAAACAACCAATATTTCCATGTTTTTAATTTCTTGGGTTGGGATGAAACTACATAACGAGCAGTTTAATTGTCCTTGATGAAAGAAATTACAGAAGCATTAGAAGAATCCATATAAATGATCCACAATTAAGAATCTCATTCTGATCACTTACCTTGGCCCTGATAGAACAGAATCACAGGGTCTCGAGCTTTGTTCATACTCAGGGGTTGTATCCTGCGGCCTTGGATGTAAGAAGTTGTAATCCAAGTTCGATTCAACTGTTATTGCTCCCTCCAACACCCTAACCACCGATGACATTGAAGGCCTTTTCGTAGAATCTAGCTGTAGACACCATGAAGCCAGTTTCATCATGTCCACAACTTCTGCGCCATGTTCCTGCATATCTTCAATGTACTTGTCAACTATATCCAACAATGTACCCTGTTCCCAACACCTCTGGAAGACCGATAGTAAATGCCGATCGTCCTCTGGCTGAGATCTATCAAAGTTCTTCCTCGCACATAACATCTCCAAAAGAACAATCCCGAAGCTATAGACATCCACCTTTTCGGTGATAGTTGATCCCGATGGTTCTGGGGCCATTTAGCCTGGGGTTCCTCTCATTCTAGTCAACCCTTGTCCTTGATCTTTGTCAACAAGCGTAGATAACCCAAAATCCGATACTTTTGCATTAAAATCTTCATCTAGCAGGATATTTTGCGGTTTTATATCGAAATGGATGATCTGTTGCCTGCATTCTTCGTGAAGATATGTTAAGCCTTTTGCAATCCCAAGAATGATTTTCTTTCTACAAGTCCATTCAAGTACTAGTTTCCGGTTTTCATTGTAGATCCATTCGTCGAACGATCCTTTGCTCACGAGTTCATACACAAGAAGCCGTTCTGACCTATGAACACAAAATCCTCTGAGTTGAACTAGATTAACATGATGTATGCTGCCAACAGACTCAACCTCGGCCAAGAATGATTCCTCAACATGCCTGGTACCTTGAAGATATTTGACTGCAACCTTTGAGCCATCTGTGAGTGTCCCTTCAAAAACGGATCCAAAACCTCCTTGACCCAGTTTTCTGCTGAAATTGTCTGTGGCTGTTACTAGATCATCATATGTAAATCGAATGGGTATTCCTGAAACATGATCCGGTACGCTTCTTCATTTTCACTGTTCATGTTTCTCTTTTTAACTATGAATTTAATAAGACCTACGACCACAATAAGAAGTAAAAGACTTCCAATTGTGGAACCAACAACTGTCGCAACTTTATTCTTTTTTTTGGATGAATGAGTTGAACCGACATTCTGGACTTTTATAAAAACCAACATATTTTGTGGAGGTGCCTCGTCATCAAGTTCAAGACTCGTCATTGTATAAAGCTCGGATGGCAAGTAGCAATCCCCACTTGAATTCGAACCATACTTGAATACTGCTGCTTTGCATAAGCAGTTCTTTAGACACTTTTGTTTGCAAGTCTCGACATCCACATCTTTCATTTCTGAGGTAAATGTGGAGTACGTGATGTTGGCAAGTTCAATAAACTGTTGATTTTGGGTAGCATTACATGTGAGAGGAGTTATTTGAGAGCATCCCTTGTTGGGTTGGCGGTCATTCACTGCTCTAAAATAGGGAGAGCTTGATTTTGGGCAACTGCATTGTCGATCTGCAGAGCAAATTGCGTTTCTCCCACAAACCAAAGGATAAGAGCAATCTACAAGATCACCCAACGGTAGATTGGTCATTTCCCCCCGTTGTAATGATTTCAAATGCCCATCTGACATTAGTTTTATATAATCGGATGTGAATGCTGGAGGTATGCTAATCACAACAATACAATAATTTGGGTTCAAAGAAGTATTGGCGAAACACAAACTCCTATCTCTGAACTCAAGATAACTCTTTTGATCTAGGCCATCTACCAAGATTCTGTAATAGACTTGAGGCGGGTTTGATCCAACATAAAAAATCAAACCTTTTGCGGTGACTTCAAGAGAGTACATGTCTTTTTGAGCTGCCCAATTGGTTGGAGAAACACCAGGTATGAGCTTCTGTCCTTGAAGTACCAAACAGTCTGTTGGGTGATCAAAAGATTGCCAAACTGTCAAATTCTGGACATCGAACAACATCAGGTTTCCTTCACCAGTTAGGTTCATGCCAGAAGTTGATTTCCCTGCAGTGTTGGTAGTCCAAACACTGCTTCCATCGACCTCCTTTAACATCAATTCCCCAGTTGCAGTTAAATTCAGGGTTGCACCTTCTTTGACGGGATTGTTTCGGTTGGCCGACCAAATCACCATCGGATCATTTCGGTGGATAATAATAGCAAAGAGGTATGATGTGCACATTCCTTTACAGAAAAATCCACACATGAACTTACTTCCAGAGAGGATGACTCTGATCCTCGAGCCATCTACGAAATTTGTGAAAGGGATAGAAGATTCATCGTTGGTCCATGATGTTGATAAATTTGCTGTAGGAATGTAACCATCTTGAGCAGAAATGGATGAGAAGATGAGAAAGAAGCCAAAGAACAAGCTACAAATCCAAGGTGCCCTCATTGATCAATATTAATGAACACACAATTTAAAAATCTAAACTAAAATATGAGGAGGTTTAGTGAAGAATTCAGCTAGCTTGCATGCAACAATTGCCGAATTTCCTGCTAACTTTGCTTCTCATTATAAATGCTATCAAAACCATGCATGGTATGGTGTTTATTAAAGTTAATACCATTCCTTTATGTCTTACAATTTTTTGGTTAAGAATTTATTATACTATTATAGCTAGGTATCAAAACCATGATTGTTGTATTAAATATTTAAGTTTAGGTCCTATTCCTTCATATGAGGAGGTTTAAAAATCTAACGAAAATATGAGGAGGTCTGGTGCTCGCATGCAACAATTGACAAATTTCCTCACAACTTTGCTTCTCACTATAAATGCTATCAAGACCATGCATGGTATGGGGTGTATTAAAGTTAATACCATTCCTTTGTCTTACAATTTTTTTGTTAAGAAATTGTTATACTATTATAGCTAGGTATCTGTTGGAATTAACCCCAATGCAAGAAACATTGAATTAAAGCAATAACATGAACATTACATATCAGAGAAGAGAGATGTTTATATGTGCACTAAATATAGCCTTTATTGATCAAGCATCACTTACATTTACAAATACAATTCATACATACATACATACATACATACATACATACATACATACATATATATATATATATATATATATATATATATATATATATATATATATATATATACACACGTACTAATCATCACAATGTTTAGTGAACCATTGTGACTTTTGACCAATATAACGGTCCCTAACTTCAACTTCCTTCCTAATTATAACTGACTTCCTAACTGCATTAATTACTTGTTAAAAATACTAAAATAACCCTAAGTCTAGATTACATTTCCAACATCCCCCCTTAATCTAGACTTTTACCAAGAGGGGTATTTCTGGAATTTCACTTCTCCCATCATCTTTCTTAGTTTTTTGTTGCTGGTCATCATCTGGTTGTGTCTTGTGGTATGAATTTCCCCTGTCAACATACGTAGTAGAAGACCATCTTCCTTCTCATCTTTTGTTGCTAGTTCAAGAAAAGAAACTGTTGTGTTTTTCATAGGTTCCATAATCATCTTTTCTTCCTCAAGCATATACTTGATATCCTTCACAAAACTAACCGCAAATCCAGAGAAAGTAGGATAAAACTCATCATCATGTTCATTTGGTTTCATTCAGAAACCCTCAAAACCATCAGTATATTGTTGGTTTAAACTTCTTAAACAATGATAATTTGCTTGCTTTAATCTGCTATTATGAATCAAAACAAAGCAGGAAGAAAGCAAAACAAACAAAGAAGGAAAATTGACAGCAAGGAAAAAAACGTGTTGGAAAAAAATATGGAGCAAGGAGAAAACTTTTAATGCTTAAAGCTCAAGTTCTTCATCAAAAAAAAAAAAGTAAATAAATACACCTATATATAGGAAACTAAAAAACGTGACCTCTACTTTTCCTAGACTTGTTGACCAAGAAAAACTTCCTAATTCCTAATTAGACTTATATACAAACTTTCAATATTCTGAACACGAGTACAAAAATGACCTACGGTCACACTTTCCGAAAAACGGCCTGTGACATTTTTTCTTAAAATTGTGGCCAAAAGTCACTAAAAAAATTTAGAGACTGTTTTTGGATACATTTAAATTAGATTGTGTGGACATTATATAGACAATGAAAACTTTTACGACACTTAATTATATCAAATGTGACAAATATTAGTCACACTCGAACACTGAGGCTATAGGTTACAATCAGCCACATATATCGATTAAGATTGTCACACTTTTTTATTGAGAGACAGTAGATAAAGTTATCGTCACATGAGTTAGTTCTCTGTGTGTCTATAACATATTGCATTTTTAGCCACATAACAGACAAAGTAGCTAAAAGGTGACAAATATTGGTCACACTAATTATTTGTGTGTCCATAGGGCGGTTCTATACTAGTTGTATTTAGTTTACGCAAAAATTTAAAAGAAGTTACTATTGGTTACTTATGGTCATGTACCTTTTATTATGTGTGTCAAAATATTATGAATTGGCTTTAAGAATAAACAAATAATGTGTGTGTAGGTAGCATTTAGTTACGTTTACAGCTATTATATGTGTCTATATGTAAATATAGCCATATAAGGAAAATAATGTGTTATCGTTATAATTAGGGGTCGTTCATTAAATATGTTACTTATGGTCATGTACCTTTTATTATGTGTGTCAAATTATTATGAATTGGCTTTAAGAATAAACAAATATTCTATGTGTAGGTAGCATTTAGTTACATTTACAGCTATTATATGTGTCTACATGTAAATATAGTCATAAAAGAAAAATAATGTCTTATCATTATAATTAGGGGTCGTTCATTAAATATGTTACTTATGGTCATATACCTTTTATTATGTGTGTCAAATTATTATGAATTGGCTTTAAGAATAAACAAATATTGTGTGAGTAGGTAGCATTTAGTTACATTTACAACTATTATATGTGTCTATATGTAAATATAGTCATAAAAGAAAAATAATGTCATCTTGAATAAGAGTTATAAGAAAGTACCAAATTGCCCTTTTTGTCATCTATTCTTTTAATTGCACCAGATAATACACCATTAAAAATGAAAAGAATACAACTTATTTTAACAGAATATTATGATAAATAAATGAAGTGAATACAACATAACTTGTTTAACATTGCATAACGAAAGTACATTGCTATTACATGTAGTTTATGTTATAACATGTGTAACAATATAACAGTAAAAAACAATAAAAAATATATCTTTGAGTTATAAGAATATTACACCAGAATAGTTTGATGGTATAATATGGTAAAAATACATTAAGTAAAGTACAACGTCATTTTTTGTCATTTTCTTATTCTCCACATAACGATGTGCTCAAGTTTTGGCCTTTCTCTTCTACAAACAAAAAATAAAGATCATTAAGTGTTAAAAGAAGGAGAAATATTATCGCTACAAATGTAATTTATGACATTAAGAAACACGTACCGTACGTATAAGAATACCGTGACAATCATTACGAAAATAATCATTTTCCTTCTGCAAGTCAAGTGTGTCTACACGTGGCAATATGTTATCATTATGAGGAACAATAGTACTAAATTCTTCATCTACATCTTCATATGTATCTTTGTAATTTTTGGGAGGCGTCTTGAACACAATAGACATTTTTTGATCGAGTGGGTCTGTCACGTAAAATACTTATTATGCTTGTGAGGCCAATATGAAGGGATCACCTTTATGGCCTAATCTTTTTAGTTCAACTAGTGTGTACCCCAATTTATCCCTTTTTACCCCTTTTCTATTGTCAACCCAGTCACACAAGAAAATTAGAATTCTTTTAAAATAATAATCTAGTACCCATATCTCTTGTAAAACACCATAATAAGTGTTTTTGACATATGTTACAACTTCTTTACTGATGTGTGTGTCAGTTGCAACAACACTAACCCCACTGTTTTGGTAAACTTTACCTTCACGAGCTTTTGTACGAAAAGTATATCCATTAATAGCATATACATCGTATTTAATAATGTTCTTATTGGGTCCATGTGAAATCCATCTCATTGTCTCTGTTATAGTATCTCTACAGGCCCCTAACTCTCTCTCTCTACCTAAATTGTAATTAGATTATGAATTTAAGAAATCAAGACAAAAATAACAAAGAACACAACATATTTGAAAAGAATATACCTCCTTTCGTAACCAATAACCAAATGTTTTAGTATGCTCTTGTTCTAGATGTGCCTTTTGTTTAGTAGGGTGTAGATGTTCCAAAAATTCCATGTGTCGTCTGTTAATACGTTAATGTTAATATTATTATAAAAAACATACATGTAAAAAACCTTACTTGATATATGGGAGTACTTCAGATGTATTTTGCAATACAAAGAAATGTGCTTTGCTGAATAGTTCTACAGAAACTTCTACCGATTTAGCAACTGATACCGGAGTACCGTCCATAATAGAACTACTATCTACACCTTTATGAATTCCACAATTGTTATGATTTTCAGGTGGAATACCAACAGTATCCATCCTTTTAAGGAATTGACTAAAAAACTCAATTGTCTCTTCTGCAACATTCTCTTCAGCAATGCATCCTTCTGGTCTATTTTTGTTTCGCACGTACCCCTTAATAACCTTCATATACCTTTTGAATGGGTACATCCATCTAAAGAATATTGGACCGCATAATTTTACTTCCCTAGTGAGATGAACGGTTAAATGAATCATCACATCAAAAAATGATGGTGGAAAGTGTTTCTCAAGAAGACATAAGGTTACACATAACTCCTCTTACAACTTATCGAACTCATCCACTATGATTTCTTTGCTACATATTGATTTGAAAAAGAAACAAAACCTTGTAATAGCAACTCTGGTAGGTGGTTGCATAATAGATCGAATTGCTATGGGCAAAAATTGTTGCATGAGCATGTAATAGTCATGTGATTTTAGTCCGATCAACTTCCTATCCTTTAGACTCACCAAACTAGAAAAATTAGAACAATACCCTTGATGAACCCTTAAGTTGTATAAAGTCTCACAGAATTTGTCTTTTTCCTCTTTTGTCAATGTACAATCTGCTGCGGGAAGTGTTGTGTTGTTCCCTTCTATCTGAGGATGCAGCTTTGGTTTCAAACCATAATGAATCAATCCAATCGAGCTTTATAACCATCTTTCGTCTTCCCGGGAACGTTTGATGTGCACAAAAGTACCCACTAATTTTAATATTTATAACCTAACAAACTTAGACTATCTATGCACTTATAGGCAGTGTACCTAGTCAGATTACAGTATAGCTTAGGTAAGTCGGGTGTCGATCACAGGGAACGGTGGATTAATTTAATATATTTGATTATAAGTTACAGGTTACACGAAGAGAATAAAGAAATAAATATCAAACTAACAATTAATTAACTACTCTTGATAAACTAATAGGAAAGCAA